TAACTGTATTTTTCATGCAAATTAATTGCTAAATAAAATTTATAGTATTAATTTTAACCCATTAATTAATTTCTAAAAAATTAAATTGTTTGTCTTAATAATTAAATTAAATTGTTTTGTATGATACTATATAACAATAAAAAATAACATATTTGTATTAATGATTGCAGATGAATTATTCTAATAACATAATCATTATATAATTAACTATATTTTATTATGCAAATTTATTGCTAAATAAAATGCATAGTATTAATTTTAACCAAAAAATAATTATATAATAATAATTATATTATATCTCTAATAAATATGTTTTTATTTGTTAAATAAAATTTAAGTTTAAGTTAATGAAAGTTAAGTTATGAATTTTAATACAAATAATTTATATATTATTAATAAGCTATCACACCCATGAAGAAAATATTATTAATTGGAAAATAACTTGATGTGAAATTGTTTATCAAAGTTTTAACAAAGTTAAGCATAAGGGAAACAAAAGAAACAAATATTCATTAGTTCATTATAAATAATAATTTCAAGTAAAAAAATCATCCATAAAAAGAGCCTAGAGAATTGTTCAAATTCATACTTGTCCTACTGTTTGGACTAGCATTACAAGATGAATCCTGCAAATAAAAACAAATATGTAGCATTAGAAAATATAGGATGGAAAAAATATAAATGAAACAAGTTGAGCATATTTATTGAATTAAAGTGTCACATTTGCCATTTCACCTCTTCCATCAACCACATTAATTTTTCTTCCATTTCCTTTTGCATAGCCAAAAATCGTTCCTCCCTTTTTCTTTTCAGAGTCATTCTTTCTCTTTCTGGAGCCAACTCTTCTTGCAATTTCTTGTTTTGGTCCTCCACTTGTGACACCCTTACTCTCATTTGATCAAGTTCATTTCTATAAAGGGATTTGATCTACCTTGACTTGAATGAGAACGTCTGAATACTTGTATCAATGTTGGATCTAATACCAATCCCCTCACACGTTCATAGTGATTTGAGCCGTTGTATTAAAATATCATTACCAAGACTAGAATATGATGAATGCTGACTTTCATATTCTTTTTGTTTTTCCTAATTAGAAAAAGAGAAATTAGAAAAAGTTTGAATTGTTAATTTAATTTTTTAATTATTTTTTAAGCAAATAATTATTATCTTACAATGGCTACAACTATTTTTCATTAAAAGGATTACCTTTTATTTAAATGAGTTGCTTTATAAAGCTCCACAAAGCTCACTTATCATCCATCTTCTTCTCCTATGAAAAAAATATCTTGTTATTGAATAAAAATATTTAAAGTGAAAAATTAAAAAAATACCATATAACCCCCTCTCCTGGCGAAATTGAGAATTTCACTCATATAGTAAATTTTTAAATAACCCCTAATTATTGTATTTTTACATGAAATCATCTATAAAAATAATTATTATTAATAAATGAATTTTATTTTGAGAAAAAAATTATTTAAAAACAAAATCTTACTTTCATGTTAGGATTTGCATGATAATCAACAAATGTTGCCCAATCCTCTGTAGAGACACGATTTAACACAGCATTCTTCTATTGATTTAGTATTATCTTGATTTTTTTTGTAAAATTACATTTTGATTCTTTTCACTTTTTTTCCCATTGCTTTTAGAATAAATTTTTTGTGCTCGAAATCATCAACTGAAAAATGACCCTGCATAAGATATAAAATATATTAATTATAGTTAATGAAAATTATGAAAAGAAACATCATTTTTCTTCTAATTACCTTGACAATATTTTTATAAACATGATCCTTCATTATGTCAGGAACCCTGTGTTAATCAAGATATCTTAATGAAAAATTATTGTGATTAATCACAAGAATTCCTAAAAAACTTGTCAAGAGCCTGTTGGTATATCTAACTGGTTGATTGAGTGTATTTTATTCCATGTGAATTTTTCACTATTTTGAAGCAAAAACACATCTTTTGCTTTTAAGCATTGAGTGAAAGTATTTTCACTTTCATCTAAAAACAGATTATCATAAAAAAAATTAAGAAAATGTACACAAAATAAAATATTAACTTTAAATTCCATAACAATAACTTAAAATCCTCTTTTTTAGCACCTTGTCTATAACGAGTGTGCCTTTGTCTTTGTATAGGTTCTTATTCTCTAAACTCTTCTTGTTGCATGGATGTCTCCTCTTACTGTACGGGTGTCCCTTCTTAGCTTTGGTTTAAGTATTCATTAAAAGCATCCAACATTACTCTATCATTAGAAGGTGACACCGTTTTTTTACCATGTAAACCCCCCCCCCCCCCCACAAACACACATAGAGAAAGGAGGAACATTTCATTTTTTAAAAAACAAATTATTTTACCCTCAACACCATTATTAGCAAAAGCAAAATTTAAAAATTCTTCCAAAACCATTCATATATTCTCTTGCGTTGTGAAGTTTAGATATCCAATATTTATCTATTTTCTATATAAAAAGAATATTTACAACTTATTATATTTAAGCATAAAATCTAAATATATTTTTTATTATTTAAATAAATATAAACAATGTAAAAATAAAAATCTCAACATTTACAGCATAAATTTAAGCAAATCAAAAAAATTATTTAAACATAATTTAAAAATGTAAATTATTCAATATATAAAATAAAAATATGAAATAAAAATTTAAATTTAATAAAATATAACTATGTAAATTCATGTCATATTTCATCCTAAAAGATCAAATATTTAATTAATAATTATCCCATCCATAAACATCAAATGTATATTAAAAACAAACAAACTAAGAGCTATACATGATATTTTATATATTCAAACATTTAAATATAACATTAATAAAAAATAAATTACTTTAAGTGTGAAATGCCAAATATTTGTAATAAGTTAAAGAAATTTATCAAGTGCCTGAAAATATATGAAAACATATAGTAAAAATATTAAATATAAGAGAAATACTTAAATAGCTCGGATGCACTACATCATTTATAGTTTATTCAATAAAAATCATATTTAAATAAAATTAAATATAAATTAATTTTGATATCAATGATAATAGAGAGAGAAAATATAAAAATCAAATGTATATTCTATTATAACCATAAAATTAATTAAAAAAATGTTATATAAAATTTTATTTAAATTATTTGAAATATTTTAATTTGATAGAATTAAATAATATGATTATTTAGTCTACTTAAATATTTTTTTAAATATAAAAATATGACTTAAAAATAGAAAAAAAAAAAATAAGCAAAACTAGCATGCACCTGAGAGGAGAAGAGAGAGCGCGCCTTGTGAAAACTGAAATGAAAGACGAGAATATAAAATAACTCAGTAACAGCCACAGTTTCCAAAAAACCGTGGCTCATTAAGTGGCGAGCCACATTTTTTTTCACGGTTTTTCCAAAAAAAGTGGCTCACTTTTTAATTGAAAAAAATGTGGATCCGTGAGCCTTGGTTTTCTCATTAAAAAAAAAGTGATTTTCATTCATTCAAAAAAACAATGTTATACTCACGGTTTTTTTTTTCCAAAAGACATAAGATTAATCATGATTTAAAAAAACTGTGGTTATTCCGTAGCTATTGCAATATTTTTCTGTGGTATGAATTGAATGGGCAAAAGAAATAAAAATAAAATAAAATAATTAAAATGAAAAGAGGTCAACCATGTTCACGACAGAAAAGAGAAAAATTAATTTATAAAATTGAGAGTTATAATTTATAACATTTATGAAGATGTAATGATGTTTATATTATAACATGTAATATCAAATTATTTATATTTATAAAGTAATTTAATTTTTTTATTTTAATTTTTTAATACATTTCATTCATATCATATCTTCATGTGATAAGATTGTTCTGAACAAAGCATTATACGTTGCCTATAATAATAATAATAATATATATATATATATATATATATATCTCTCTCTCTCTCGCTCTCTCTCTCTCTCGAGATAATATCCATGAATATAATAATATCAACTCTAACTGCTTTTCAAGTCAAGATAGTTTATGGAACAAATTATTAATTTTGCCTTGCCTTAAATTTTGTAGGCAGCGTTGTTTTTAACTACTCTTCCGCCTTTATATATAAAAAAAATTAAACATTTTTTATTTATAAATATAAAAAATTTATTAATATATTTTTTTAATGAATAGTTTTATTGTACTCTTATTAAATTAAAAAATAAATATTCTTATTAATTTACTTTAAAAAGAGATTCATTTTGTATTTACAATAATGAGAGGTAAAATTGACATGTTACTATACTTTTAATTAAATAACTATTTTTATTGTTTTATATTATTTGATTAAAACATCTTATATATAGGGACGAAAAAAATAATTAAAAATTACCTAGTTAAGATTACCGTTATTGAAGGTTTTCAATTATCCCTAGTTCGGCAGAAGTGAAATTTTGCAGCCACGTAGTGCAATATACTTGAATTTACATGGAACATTGTACTTGTCAACAATTTTAGTTTAATATATTTAATGTAAAATTTTATAGCAATCTAAAGCTATAATACTCATTACAATAAGTCATAATAAAGACTGTATTTATTTTTCAAAATCTATGCAATATGTAGGTAGTGGAGGAGAGCTAGTTAATTCCTCATAATATACTAAATTTAAATTTAATTTTTTGCTAAAAAAGTATTTATATTTAATGTTATCTCAAATAGAATTGTCTCAACAAAAAAGAATGGAACAAAATTTATAAGTCAAGTTGAGATTATAGCAAGTTTATCGACTTTTTCTTTCTTTCTTTTAAAGATGTGAGAATAATGTTTGAAGTCTCACACAAAATGTTTTATTAATAATTTTAGTTCAATTATTATAGTAATTTACTTTTTTTATATGGAACTTGTATGTAATTATCTGTTCAAAGATTACATTTCCTTTTATTTTAACTAAATTTGGGGTGAAAAAAGACATTTTCAAAAAGTTACTTATTATTTACGCAAGAGTGTCCCTCGACAGTGGATCCGTGGCGCAATGGTAGCGAGCGCGTCTGACTCCAGATCAGAAGGTTGCGTGTTCGATTCACGTCGGGTTTCAATTCCCATTATTTTTGTCCTTATCGATCATTTGATTTAACCACAAGGAGAGGATGCGTGACTCTGCCGCATCTTTTTTCATTAGGACAGCTCTTCGCTAATTTAATTTTCTATTTATAATTAGCTCTCCTCTAATTTGTGGATCCTTTTACTACTACGATGTTTTCAATTTTAATTATAAGCTAGCGTTATATGCGAGAAATGCAATTATTAACTTAATATCACAAAATTATCAGACAAAGTTTGAACTTCAACTTTCTAACATTTCAAAAGTACTTTTTCACTTTTGAAACGTGGGAGGTTATTTGATTGTTTGGTTTACATTTTCTCTTCAAAAGTTCATTCTAAAAATGTTTAAATGTACTTTCATATTCAATTTAAAAAAATTAAAACATTTTCATCTTAAATGTGACAGATGGGCATTAATGAGTGAGTCAAAACTTATTAGGGGGAATGACATTAAAGATATTAAAAGAAAAAATTATTACAATAAAAACTTATAAATTTTGCATCAATATTATATTGTGTAAAAAAGAACTATTGTAAAAATCTGAATCTTAACTTATATTTTTTGTTAGTTTTTTCTCATAAATTTAACAAGTTAAATGCTCAATTTTCACAACAATATGTTCGTGTTTTCACAACACTATATTTGATACAAAATTGATAGGCTTTTATTATAATAATTTTTCTTTTTAAAGCCTCCAATGTCATTCTCCTTATATTATTTTTCCATTTACCCTTAAAACACCACAAGCCACACGATGTGGATGCCTTCTTTCTTTTAGCATGACTTATCCACCTCCAATCACTACCCCTCTTCTTCTCAACTTGGTGCTAATTGTAGGTGCTCATTTTTTAAACTTTATATTATTTTTTAGTTGTTGATTATTATACATTTGGTCTCTCTATAGCTATTTGTAAGTGCCAATTTTTAAAACTCATATTATTTTTTATTTTTATTATTTAACATATCAAATTTTATATTATTTAAAATTTTTATTACATTTTTTAAACATTTCTAACATAATATAATAAAAATTATAAATAATCATAAAGCAATATGGTAATTGCACATACACAAACATATTTCACTATATATAATCCAAATAATTTTTAGTTTACAAACTCATTTTTTAAAAAATATATTTAAATATAAATTTTGTTATAATAAATAACTTTTATTAAATTAATTTTTATCAAATGAACTTTTAATAAATTAATTTTTAACCAATGAAAAGGCGAAACACGCGTGCTTAGAGGCTTAGGGCAATTACTAATACATACCTCATGTTTATTTTTCATGTTGCCTTTCAGATCTATAAGAGTAACTAGAATAGTCAGTTATCTTAGTTATTTTTTAAGTTAGAGTATCATAACGCAATCAGAAAACCACCATTTTAAATCAAAGATTTTACACACACGCACACACCAAAGAACTATTCTTTATCTTTGTCATTTTTGAGTTAGAATATCACAAGGCAATCAGAAAACCACAATTTTGGATCAAAGATTTCACACACACACACACACACACAAGATCTACAAATTTCCCCAGATTGATAGTATATAGGTGATTGTCCCAAAAAAAAAAATGATATTACATAGGCTAATGGTAGAGTATTTCAATTTCTCAATTAAGATACCCCACCGTGCAAGCATCATCTTAATTTTACATTTTAGTGTGCATTTGATTCTGATTTACAAGAGACTTTATATCATTACACTTTTTGTGATTACCCCTACACAAGAACTATATATCGTTTGGCTCATTATCCATTTATTCCTCAAACATCTCTACCCATGGTCTTGTCTTCTAGATCTTACAGATTTCTAAATCTTTGTTCAAGAATCAAAAGTTTTAGAATGTGGAACACACTTACCTTCATTTTTCACTTGATCTGGTATAATATAAATCAAGCTCTCAATGCAAGGAAGATAATTCTAGCTATGCAGGTTATTCACTACTTTAATGACAATATTTCTTTTTAAAAGGTGCATGCAGATATACAATAATGGGTGGCAATATAAAAAAGCTATAAACTACATGGTCACAAAAGAAAGATCTTCACTTTCTTTTGCCAACCTTCGATTGATTTCAGTTTATAAGTTAGGAAATTCAATTTACTATCTTTAAAGAAAAGAAAAAAGAATTTACAGTGTTGTCTCTTATTACTCAACTATGAGAGATAGATTGAATTGCTTCTTTGCAAATTTAAAGCTATTTCCCTATATCACTTCTTAGCTTTTTATGTTTGCAACCTCTTGTTCTAGATCAAAAACTTCTTCTCTTTAATTTGAATCATCTTGGAAACTTTGCAAGTTAAGGAAAATTTGAAGATTAAACATAATAAGGGAGTTTGCTTTATCCTAATCGACAACCCCTCATAAATCAAAACATTTCCAAGCTTTTGCACAACTTTAACAACTCCAGCCTTCAGAAATGTAATCTCAATTTTTTCTCTATATTCTTTTCCTCATTATTTTAATAAACTTGTATATTAATGCTTACTTTGTGGACTTCTTTTTTCTTTTATTAATATATTTACCTTTTTACTATAACAATTGTAGAGAAGGATGTATGTTAAAAATAGTAAAATAACACTAATTATTACAAAGAATTTAAATGTAAATTCAATGAATGAAAGTTTTGATTAGTAAAAAGAATTAGTGCATCATAAGGTAATGAAACAAGTTCAAATTCTCATTAAAAAATACTCATATTTAGTTCCTAATTATGTTTTAAATATTATTTTTTTAATAAAGAGGATATGTATGAGTAAAAAAAATAATATAGATTCAAAATATCAAGGGCTTGTTTGATTTCTGTTTTCATTTTTTATTTTTAAAACTATTTATAATACAGTTTTTAATTATTTTTTTAAAATAAAATAAAATAAAATTTGTTTGGTTATATCAATTTAAAATAATTTTAAAATTAAAAATAGATAATAATACTGGTTATAGGTGTGTTAGGTCGTGGTAATAAATAATATAATTAGTCAAGATAATTAATAATTTTTAATAATTAAATGCAATATTTTTAAAATAAAAAAAATAAAACGAAAATAACTTGAATTTATTTTTAATGAAAACAGTTTTAAAAATAAACTAAATGAAAAATATTTATTTAACGATTTTTGAATTTTTTTTTTTTAAAACATACCATTTGAAAACAGACAACAAACAGGCCCCAAGTTACCCCGTGTCACTGAATCTGGGAATTTCAATTTGTTTTAGATATTATTTTGTCGCAAAACGCGTCGTCCGTTTTTTTTTTTTTTTTAATCGGCAACGCTCAACCTATCTTCTCGTTCCTCTTCATATGCGCTACAAGCCTACGACTACAAGGCACACGCATCCTCATGGCTTGTATCAGTAAATATTCTGGAAAATTAGGAATGGCTTCGAATCCATTTCAATGCCACTCTTTGCAGCTTTCCCAAATTCCCACGTCTTCTCTTTCTTATCCATTGCCCAATTGCAGGCGAATCCAGCCATCACGGTTTCAACTGGCTACACCCACAATCCGAATTTCATGCGTTTCCGTCAGTCACAAGAGTAAATCCAGTGACAAATCCGAAGCTCAAGAGCTGGTTCGCTTGCTTATGGGCAAGTTTAGTGACAGAGAGCCGATATTGAAGACATTGAACAAGTATGTGAAGCTGGTAAGAACCGAGCACTGCTTTCTGCTGTTTGAAGAGCTTGGAAAGCATGATAATTGGCTGCAATGCCTTGAGGTTAGTTTCGTTCTTTCAATCTTAGACAATATCTCGGTAATATAAATTAGTTGGTTCTGCTTTATCTGTACCTTTGTCGATAACTGATAATGAGATTATCTGATTGGTATTTCTCTGCTACCATATCTCCAAGATTGGTAGTGCCGAAATATTCAGTCAGTGGGACTGGGAGATAACCCGAATTTGTAGGGTTTTTAAACTTGGACATCAATTTTCTTTTCATGCGAATGATTGAACAGTTCAGTTTACTATATGTTTCCAGCAAAGTTTTAGGAGTCACATTTGCCAGACATGGTTTTAACAGAAATTCACCACATCACTCTACTGATGTGTTTCTTTGGTTCATGACGTAGTTGGCTGATGCATTATGTACTTAATAAGCTACTCCATATCACCATTTAGCACATGCTGGGTATTAAAAGTAAAAAGGAGCACAGAAAAATAGCTATGATATTTTACAATTTCAGCAGCTATATGTTTGTCTCAAAGTGTTTAATATTCAGGTTTTCAGATGGATGCAGAAGCAACGCTGGTATGTTGCTGATAATGGGGTTTACTCAAAATTAATATCAGTAATGGGAAAGAAAGGACAAACGAGACTGGCTATGTGGCTTTTTACGGAGATGCGCAATACTGGCTGCCGCCCAGATACTTCAGTCTATAATGCACTCATCACAGCCCATCTTCATTCACGGGATAAAACAAAGGCTTTAGCCAAAGCTCTTGGTTACTTTGAGAAGATGAAAGGAATGGAACGATGTAAACCCAACATTGTAACATACAACATTCTGTTGAGAGCTTTTGCCCAAGCTCGGGATGTGGATCGAGTAAATTTCTTGTTTAAAGACCTCAATGAGAGCATTGTTTCACCTGACATTTACACTTTTAATGGTGTCATGGATGCTTACGGAAAAAATGGGATGATCCGAGAAATGGAAGCTGTACTCTCTCAAATGAAAAGTAACCAGTGTAAGCCTGACATAATCACCTTTAATCTGCTTATTGATTCATATGGGAAAAGGCAGCAATTTGATAAGATGGAACAGGTTTTCAAGAGTTTATTACGCTCCAAAGAGAAACCAACTCTGCCTACATTTAATTCAATGATTTTGAACTATGGGAGGGCACGTCTTAGGGATAAAGCAGAAAATGCTTATAAAAAGATGACTGAGATGGGTTACAAACCTAGCTTTGTCACTTATGAGAGTCTAATCTATATGTATGGTCTATGTGATTGCATTTCCAGAGCCAGAGAGTTATTTGATGGGCTGATTGAGTCAAAAGTTGAGATAAAAGTTTCAACCCTAAATGCAATGCTCGATGTTTACTGCATGAATGGTTTGCCCATGGAAGCTGATGCTCTTTTTGAGGGGGCAAGAAGTATACAAGTTTTTCCAGATTCATCAACGTATAAACTTCTTTATGGGGCTTATACTAAAGCCAGTTTGAAGGAGCATCTAGCTAAATTGCTAAAGCATATGGATAAAGATGGTATTGTCCCTAATAAGAGATTCTTCTTGGATGCTTTGGCTGCTGTTGGGTCTCTACCAGCAACTTCAAAATCAGAAAATGCTAGTGCTGATTCAAGCAAACTACAAGATCTTGCTAAGGGTCAGCTATAAAGGTAGTTGGCAGTTCATGCGAATGAAACTCCTAATGAATATATCTACTGGAGACTTGCATAAAAGAGAATAGCTCCCTTGTAAGGTGGTACGTCGATCTCTTTGCTGCCACTTTCAGCTCACTCTAATCTGCATGGAAAGATTCTTCTGAAGAACCGATTTTCAATTGATGCACATTTGACCTATATCAGTATTTTTGTTTTCCTTAACTTTGTAGAAAATATTTTTCCTTGAAACTAAATAGCTTATCTCATAATAGGGCTTCTCTTTATCATGCTAACTTGCAAACTCATAGGTTTGCTGTTGGTTTTAACAGTAACCAACGCCTTGAAGATTTTGCTTCAAAACATGCAGATTAAAACTTAAGAAAGTAAGAAACAATGGGCAGTGAGAATAATTTTGTCCCCTGATGTGCCTGAAATTTCTTGTTCCATAAATATTAATCTGACCTAGAACCTTTTGTAAATTTAGTCATCTAAATGCAACAATTAGAGCTGGGAAAACCTTGGGAAGTTTCAGATGACTAGGAAAAATTGACTTTGGGAGCTGAAAGTTAGTTATCTAAGAACAAAAAACTGAGGATGTGTTAATATTCATAAATTATACTATCTCAGCGTTAAGTTAATTGGGTGTGTTTTTAACAATGACGAAGTTTCTAAACAGTCTCAATGAGAAACTTTTGTTTCTTAGCAGCCTTCCTGTAACAGTTTCCGTAACTTTTATCTACTTGTGGACTGAATTTAATATTTTCGCTGCTGCATTTGCCATACTAGTCATATTTCTTGTATTTCATTGTATATTAATGACAGTTTTTCTTTCTGTTTTTCAGGATCTGCTAACCTTCAATACTCTGATCCTTTTACTTGCATGCTCAACAACGCCGAATCATGATTTTTTGCAAAGAAATTTTGTGAGAACGTTGAGTGCATTTTCGCTTGATAGTTTAAAGCACTCCGATCATTACTGCTGGGGGAGTTTTCAGGCCTATTTGCTTCTTGGGAATCGACTATTGTTACATGAACTCCATTCCTCTTTCCCCTCGTTTATTTATGATATTTAATAGGATGATGTAAACTAAAGACTTTATTTAGATGAAATTTTATTTTAGGTAGAGCTGTGGTCTGTGGATGGGACTGTCACAAGAGTGAAACACTGAATTTTTTTTAATAGGATCTTCATAAACGGAAACATGAACATAAACCCTAAACCCTGTTTCTAAGCTTGGCTTATGTTTTAACTTATTCCATCCATTTTGTTCTTGTCTAAGGCAACTAATGTTCCCTTATTGGTGATGTTAGTATTGAACATCGAATGAGATGACAGCGAGAATGATGCTTCTTATAATGCCTTGTGAAAGAATGAAAATTTTTATTTGATCTTTTTTATTAGTATACTGGGATATGTCTGCGGAAAGGTTTAAGCATGTGTGAATAGATTAGACTTGGTGTGGAGAGAAGTTTCACTTCAAATAGAGTTAGGTTAAAGAAGAAATATATGATAAAAAATAATTAATACCTTCATTTTGAGTTAAAATGTGATGGTGTTTATTTTTGTGTTTTCTTGAAATTATTGATAAAACATAGTACAAAGGTGATGAAAAAAGAGTCTAAGACGTGTTATTAGGTTGAATTATTACATGGTAACATTGGTAAATTGTTGAGGTAATAAGAAGACCATGTTTTATGATTAATGGTAAACTCACTTAAATGAAAGATTGTTGAAATGCCAAGTGTAAGTGAATTTAACTTGATGTGAAAAAAATCTCACTTCAAATAAATTTTGATTGGATAAGAGGTATATAAGTGAGAAAGACTTGTAAATTCAATGCTTTGAGATTTGAAATTAAGATATGCTATCATCCTCATTTCTATATATCTTCTTGGAATCATCAACCCAGCTATATTCTCCGTTCTAAATCCTCATGGTTAGGTTTAATTTTATTCACTGCATGGGTCTTTGAAGGGAGTTTGCAACCCTGCTGCTGCAACGTCTCATGACTTTCATGGGTCTTTGAAGAGAGTTTGTCCTCATTGGAATACCATGGGTGACAAAGTGATGTATCAAACCTGACAACCGCCAAAGCTAGTGAATTATCGGCACCAAATCTAAAAAACCAAATTTATATAAACAATTTATTTGCTTACATATATATTAAGCTAAAATGTTAAGCTTCACCTAAAAATTGCATGAACCAATCCATTTAATCCAAAGTCAGCTAAATCAACACTGACTACCTAAGAATAGGAAAAAATTAATTATTTTATCATGAATTCAGTCCATAAGGACTGGGTATACAATCTATGAATTTTTCATGATACAAACCCCATACAAAACGTCAGACAATATACTCCACTATCAAGAACTCTTGGCCTCCATGGCAGGACTGAACTCGTCCTCATCATTGCCAAATCCTTGGAAGCTGGAAGACCCAACATTGTTACATTTAGTCAATCTACTTTGCTGTCATGGGAAAATCTGCAAGTCTGGAAAAGTGGGGGGGACATGGCAAATCATTATTATGTATGGAGCCCTCATTTATAATAATATATGAAATGCGGTTGATTTGTACACATTGAGATATTCACAACTCACTTTGCTTCTGAAGCACCAATTAAAGAGTTATAGTAGGAACTCAACCCTCTTCTGACTCTGCACATTAAAATGGATATCAGAACAGAAGAACTTGCAGTATCACATAACAGAAGTGAACACTCAGCGTCTGGAAGGAAAACCATCAAGGTTGGTACTTGGGACTTCAGAGAAATAAGCAAATGTTAGTCGAAAAGCAAAAACACCTCCTTTTTGCAATATGGAAACAATACCATGAAAAATTATGCATATACAAAAGCTCGATACAACATCCTTCTTACCATGTATGGCATCCATGTTATTCTCCTTGTAAACACCAAGGGGTGATCCATGGACTGAGAGGAGCATCTCGCCAGGTTTCGGAAGCCTAAGTGTTTTGGGTGTCATACCAACAGACAACCTTTGACTACTCACCTGCATAAATCAAACAAACTAATTTCTCCAGCTTTAAGAGAAAAATGCCTATCTGGAAATCCCTTCAGCTTCTATTGATAGCCAACAAATATGAGTTTGTAATGAATTCCAAGCTGCTTCTTTATCTTGATTCCCATGAAATCAATTTCTCCAGGTTTGCTACTAAGATTATTGTAGGTTGTTGACCAGATTTTCAGGGATATGTTCGATTAATAACTAAAAAATGCAGCTTACTCTTTCAAGCATTAATGCATGGGACTATGAGTAATGTATTCCTTCACGGACTTCATATCCTAGCTTACAGTCATTACATGATTTTCTGAAGATCTGGGTGCAGACCAATTGGCATTTGGAAGTTAACATGCATCAACTAAACTAATTTTGTGCCATAGAGCTCAGTTATATGGCATGCAGAGAACTGCAAATTATTTGTGCATTTTGACAAAATTATATGAAAATTCTGTATTTGAATTAATGATGCAAACATTTAATCTCGTTCTAAACATTGCCTAGGGTCAATGACTACTTACAACTTGAAAATAAAGAAGCCTGACAAAAAATAATAGCGCAGAAGCAAAGCCCAGAAATAAAACAAGAGGAAGATGATACAAAATACAAACCCCAGGAGTCCGAAGAGCTTCTTGCATTGCAAGAGCCTGAGCTTCTGATGGCTCCTCCATACTCTAAATAACAGGCATGTCATATAATTAGCAAAGAACAAGTTTAATCAAATGTTTAACCAAAATAAGTTTCAGCTTCTGGCATAAAATTAAAGCATAAGCGGAACTTACAAAATCCTTAATATACAAGTTATCAGAACCAAGAAAACTTGTTCTTCCTGCCAATAATCAAATAACTATAGTCAGGTAAAATCTATACGAAAAAGAAAAGAAAGGGTTCAATTATGAAGAAAATAAAGAAATTACCAGCCTTGCTAGAGTATTCAAAGCCATCCAAAGGAGGCATTGCAGAAGAGAAGTCAGGAAAAGCCATGGACAGTCTTTGCAGAAGAGAAGCATGTACATCTCTTCCTCCAGCACAGCTCATGGACATCCTCTTGTCATTATCATTCCATCTCAATTCAAACTTCTTATTCTCTTTGTCACTTACAACAGAAAGATTTGGGAGAATTTCTTTGAAAATTTGTTGCACCGGAGTCTGGAGCTGTTCCTCGCTAAAATACGATCGAAGTAAACGCAACTCTGTCAGCAAATGTTCAACCTCCACATTACGCACAGCCCTAATGGCAGTAGCTTGTCGCTCAACTGGTAAACAGAAATCGTTAAAGTTAGAATTTAAAACTTAAAGGTACCAAACGATGTGGAGATCTGCTGATCTGGAGAGCAGCAATTCAATGGAGTCCAGTCCACAAATTCGAAGGCATAAAATTTCGCCTTTTCACATATAAATAGGCTTCAAAACCTAATTAGGTACTATACTAATTTTCACAATTAGAAAGCACAAAAGGGACGAAAAAAGCACACAGAAAAATATACCCTCGAGGTCTATGAATTGAGCTTGTTGCGGTTTAATTTGACTCTCCTTGGGCTCGTTCTTGCCGTTTCTATTGGCTTCAGGTGACGATTCGGTCTTTTGAACGGTTCTCTTGACTCTACGTCTAGCCATTTTCACACTAACGAAGCAAATCGCTCACTGATCCAACGGCTTCCGCGGGAAAAGCGCATCACCAGTCAAAAGGCAAAACTGCTGAACATGAAACACACTGCAGACTACAAATCAGAGAAATGCAGTTAGGGTTACAGAGTTCTTACTGTGGAAGCATGAGCACCGAACGATGATATCACAATTTTGTGAGGGAAAAGAGACTGCGGGAGGAAGAACCGAACCACAGATTGAATTTTTTGAACGTTAGGGCAGGACGAATCGAATTCTTTGTTTTACATCTACATTGAAATCGTCAGAGGAAAAAAATCCTTTCAAAATGAAAATTATGGAGACTTCTGGGCCATAAGAAGACCTTTGGTGGCCCAGAAGAACATTGTAAATTAACATGGCCCAACAACATACTGGGCTCTGATCAGATTATGGAATGTGCCTATGTTGGGCATCTCGTTGATCCATTTTACGTGACACATCTAAAACTAGACAACGTAATTGACAAGGAAATCCAGACCAAGCCCTAATCTAAATAGCTTAATCTGAATACCAGGATTCTTTATTATTATTAATTATTAATAAAATGAAATTAATCTTTACCTTAGATTTCACTTAGTGCTAACAAACCCTCTTCCCAACTCCACTTTGCACATTTTGTATGTTTTAATGTTCTGGTAATTATTTGTTTTGAATATTGTTCTTGAAAATATTTAGGAGGTTAATTTATATATTTTCATTTTTACTCTTTTAAAGCTTGCCCATCTCATCCAAATGCATATGGAATCTGGGGAGTGAATGCGGATAAGAATGAAGAAAATGGGCCCTTTGATATCTCATTTATTTTGTACAGATGACATTATAATATTTGCATAAGCTTCTTACATCAAGCTAATGTGATTATGAAATGCATTAACAATTTCTGTACGTGTTCAGGGTTGAAAGTCAGCTCTACAAAAACTAGAATCTTCTACTCTAGAAATGTGAACCGTAATAGATGCAATGAGATCAATTATGTGCTTGGATTTACCTAGATTGCTAATTTGGAGAAATATTTAGGGGTTACTCTACATCATTCACGGGTTAAAAATGATGCTTTTAAGGAGGTGGTTGAAAACATCAAGAAGAGACTTGCAAGTTAGAAAGTGAATTTGCTATCTTTGGCTGGCAAATGCATACTAATCACCTCTGTCTCTTCAGCCATATCTAGTCATGTGATGTAGACCTCATTATTTCTAGTGAATACTTGTGAACGTTAATAAAGGATTCTTGTGGGGTACCACTAAGCAACAATGGAAGGTTCACCTAATTGCTTGGCGATGACATCCACTTCTTACCCGGAGATTGAAACTCAACTACTTAATAGCTTGTCACAAATGTTTGATACTGTGGAAATTAGAAGGGTGATTTTTGATATGGGGCCACTCAAGTCACCTAGACAGGATGGGTTAAATGCCCTCTTTTTCCAAAGTCAATAGAATATTTTTGGGCCATCAGTTGTGTCAGCGGTGCAAAAATGCTATGGGGAGCCTCCTTTAATCGTCAATATTTAATAGTACCTTCATTGTTCTTATTTCAAAGAAAGACAATCCAAAGAATATCTAGGATTTTCGGCTGATTAGCTTGTGTAATGTGGTGTATAAGGTTATTATGAAGCTGACTGCTAGGCCAAAAAAATAGGTTAAGCCCATCAATCCAGCCCGTTTTAACCCATATAATACTGTAGGGTTGGGCGTGCAAATATTACCCTAAAATGATAAATTGGGCTTAAACAAGTTAGCCCATTTAAGCTCATTTAATTTAGGACTTGAAAAAAAAAATTAAACTAAATCTTATTCTACATTACATGTCAACCCATATCTATCGAGGAGGGAAAGCAAAAAAAAAAAAGAAGAAGAAGAAGAAGAAGGAAAAATAGCAATGAAGGATTGCTAATTAAAATTTATATCAGTTAAGGATCATTTGTTGTCAAAATCTGAGTGGATACTTGTAGATTCAGGTTAGTCTTTATTAACAAGTTTTCATTTGGATTTTAATGACAATTCATTCTAAATTAACAGCTCATTCTAGCTTGTTTTTCATTCAGGTTTTAACAATAACTAGTCTTTAATTAATATAGATTTCATATAGAAATCCGTGGTTACTATTTTCCAAAAAAAATACGACCCTAAATCCCTTAATTCATCTAGATTCACAATAATGATTCATTCAATTTAACATTTACTCTTCTTTCTTCAATATGCTTCTCTTCTTTTTGCTATTGCAAGTTGTCCTCGTTCTTCAGCAAGTCATTGCGTTGCTGTCTCTGTCCCTGTCATCACAACTCACAAGTCATCCTTGCTTCTGCTTTTGCTCACTCTTCAGTCGTTCCTATTGCTGACTTTGATAGTGCTCCCTCCCAAGAATCAAGTCTCAACAATACTTGACTAGTAGATGCTTGCTGCCATCAATCCCTAAGTCCTCCTATCACTTATCATGCCCGTGCATTCATGACTCATAAGTTAAGCTTTATTTGATGAATGCGTGTGTGCTCTTTGTTTTTCTCTATCTCCTAGTCCCATATCTCAGTCCCTCAATCTCATCTAGTCTCAATTGAGTGTTTCTTGGCTTGGTCAATCCATTGCTTATTGCCTTTCTATCATTTCATTTGTGTTTTTAGTTCATTTAGATGTTATTTAGTTAGTTTTTTCATAGCTTTCTTAATTAGGTATTATATTGGAATGAAGAATTTTTTGTTTGATTAAAAAATTTAAAATCATAATAAAAATAGTTAAAAGGGCCTAAAGCCTATAGGGCCAGCCCTAAGCCCACAATATTGAAGGCCGAGCTTTGCATATCAAGGTCTTAAAGGGAATTTAGACTTAAATGGACTAGCCCTTTTAGGCTTGAGCTCACTTGTTTTTCCAGCTCTAGTGACTATTAATAGAATTAAGAATATAATGCCTTATATCATTGCTCCTAATCAGTGTAGCTTTATGCTTGGTAGGGAGAGCTCAGATAATACCATAGGTGTAACCTCCCTGAGGTTAAACCACAATTTACTCCAAATCATAGTTATCCAAGATTTTAAAAGGAGAATTTTTTAAAATTATTTCAAAGGAATTCCAATTTTTCATTTCAAATCTCAAATATAATTTAAAGATTCCAAATCAAAGTCTTAAAAAAAAAGCGGAAGCTTAGAAATCAATTGGAACCCAAATAATGAGTTTTAAAACTTAAAAATTATTTCTGTGTAGAAAATGACACGTGTGCTGTGGCTTACGGCTTATGCACTGCGGCGTGTCTTCTCTGTGCCATGCGCCGTGGTGCATTACATGAAATTTGATATATTAGTGTTGTCATTTGACAGCACAGGGAGTAAACTTTCGATACATCTTAAATCTCCGTCCAATGTTCGATTGAGGTAGTTTTTAGTGTCTACATGAAGCTTTCTCCTAGCTCTAGCTAATGGCACCGGTTTCATACTTAAATTCATTTTCTATCAAAAGTTAGACACCAAAACCTATTTTAACACATTTTTACAAAATTTCTCAAATGGGGTGTTCCAACGCAACCACACATTCCAATAGCCTACACCAACCCTCTAACCACACTCAATGAACTCTTTTAAGGACTCGTGCAACACACCACACGCAATCAAATACACTTATTTCACAAAATCACCACTCAACCTCAATTTTCACAAAATATAGAGGGGGAGGAAAAGTTGCATAAATTTAACCATTTTATTCGTATTTCTTAAAAATACATATGTTCTTACTTGCACAAGTATTTTGACCCTATTCACGGGTCTACAACAAAACTTACTAACCCAGGGTATAAAATATACTAGTTAAACACAAAATCATGTAAGTAGTGCACCAATCATGACAATTAATCCTAGTTAGCAATTACCTTGATAAATACACATGTAAATAGCAAAAGAGAGGCATATAGAGGATTTACTCCATCAATCCTAAGCCTCAGTATGTTTTTCTCGACTCGAATCCAATGAGCTAGGTCCTAAAAATAGTCAAAATTTAGGGTTGAGTATAATCACTCAGTAACCAAGTTTCACTTAATCCTTATAGTTACATATTAATTGTAAATAGATACAATTAGGCATATAAACTCATATATCACATAGCATTAGGCCACGGTTCATAAAACTAATAACCATGTGACCGGGCTTGCCACAAAACACCATATCATGTTATTTTCAAAAACATAACTCAGGGTTGTAAAATAACAACCATGCACCCTTAAAACGTGCTAGACCACAAAACTAACAACTATATGACCGGACTTATATATATAATCATATGCCAACCTTATATCTTCTTGTTACCTCTAACACAAAACACGTGGCTATCACGTGGTTACGTTCTTCACGGACTAACCCAGCCTTCCACTTGTGAGAAGCTACCAAGTTAGAGTTAAGTCACTCACTTATATAATCTGGTTTCCCTAAATACTCACAACCATAGGGTGTCGTACCCCTAATCTAGCCTCCTCATGAGCCGGTGAAGACTAGTTAGGTTCGAGTCCCTCGTAGAACAAGTAAGACAGTCCCGATTCAACCATGGGACAAGGGCTACGTCCCCATTCCAATGGTCAGTGTCAAGGTTAGTTCTCAATTTCAACGGTTAATGCCAATACCATGTGGATTTCAACCAATCTACTCTTTTCCCTAGGCGAACTCCCACCCATGATCATGCTATGTACATTTCACACATAATATGCATTTCAACAATCATTTCTCAACACATGAACTCACATAACACATATACTCTACACTTTAACACATATTTCATCACAATTCTCCACCCCTATTAACAAATCACAATTAATTTCATAAAACATCAAGGGTGGTAGAATCAAGGTTTTCTTTCAAAAGAAACCATTTCACAAATCAACACTTGCTAATACGCATTATCAATTTATTCCACAAATCACATTTTACAAACACAATTAATATTTAACTATAAAAATTAAGTTTTCTCTAGTTATCTCAAACCTTTGAGAGGTCAAAGGTTTACCTCTCACTATATCAACTTCCCAAAGCTTTAACAAGCTCGAAAGGTATTAAGATGAACCTCTCTACAATCAAATCATAAGGATATCATCATCATCTAGCTCTTTAAGCTTTATCAACATAAAACTCCTCATACACTATTTTACCAACTTATAATCACTACCCATTTATACCTAATGGGCTTATTAGATTCCATTAATGCACATTATTATTAACAACACCTCAAACCATCATTATTTTATATTAACCTCTCCCAACTACCTCATAAATACTAATTTTCAGACAT